CTCTTTCAGGGGGAGCTGTAGGCTTCATAATTATTTTAATTGAATACTGCTGCTCCCTTTGTGCTACTTTACTTGTATTGATGAAGTTTTGGGTAATTAGGTTTAGAGGAACATAGCAAGTTTGCTTGTCTGCATACTGAATTTCACTGGTGTCTTCTCAAATGGATTGAGACTAATACTGGGATGCTGAAATCCTGTGATATACAAATAGAATGTCTATGGGGTTTTTTTTTTAAGTTTAAAATTTTAATATTTGTAAATTTAAAAAATTTTACATGTGCTGAGTGGTAGCAGTGCTAACCTTTTGTGACCATTAAACCACAAACTCACTGCATAGAGCATCTTTCTTTGTACACAGAATCAAATCACAATACCAATATTTTCAATTTGTCATAATTTTATGTGGTAAAAGATACCACACTAGGAAGCCTGGGCTCAGAACACACTTGAGGTCAGATCCCCAGTAGGTATGTAGTGCAGCTGTAGTATTTAATCTCAGCACTACCCGAAGGATGGACATATTTGAAACACGGACTTGGAGGGGGGAACCAAGGGCAACACACGTAGCCTAAACATCTGTACCCCATAATATGCTGAAATAAAAAAAAAAGAAAAAAAAAAAGAGAAATCTCAGGCTAGGCAAATTAGCTACTAGCACATATCTGACAGCTCCTAACAGCTAAGAGGACTGAGAACGTAGACTGAAAAGGAGAAGATGACACCTCTCCCGCTGCTGGGAAGGCCTAGGAATAGGTGAAGAGCAAACCACAGTAGGTGAGGGGGTAAAGAGTGTCGGGTTGGTGATGTGAGCCTCAAGGGTGTGATGGGCAAGCCACACCTCCCAATTCCTAGGAGGGAATCACCAAAGCCGGCTTAGAACATTCTGGTTTTTGCAAAGACTTTCACATAGAGCACAAGAGGCCAGAAACAGATTTTCTTCATTCATCCTCTTTAAAACAAAATGAATGCCCATTATTAAGCTTATATCTTTGCCTGAACCAAATATATTCTTTGGCTAACTATGTCATGGGTTTCTTATTATAATCCATCAGCATACTCCGCATTTCTTACATCTAAATTAAAATACATCTAAGAGTATTTGTATACACAAGGAGTGCAATGCGCACTACCCGAAGGATGGACATATTTGAAACATGGACTTCGGTGGGGGGAGGGGAACCAAGGGCAACACACGTAACCTAAACATATGTACACCCATAATTTGCTGAAATAAAAAAAAAAAAAAAAAAAAAGTTCAACTTGAACCATGGCACTTTGAATCAATTTGAGCTCAGCAATATACCTAATTTGGACAATTTTAAATTTTAGAAAATCAATTTTTAAAGACTTCTTAAGTGCAATGTTTTCAGAACATAGTTACCAAGTCAGAAAATATCCACTTACATGTAAAAATAATTTAAAGCATTATTATACCCTCAAATCAACTGTTTTGTGGGAAAATTTACAGAAAATTAGAATGTTAAACCTCATATTCAAATCAGTTCCTTATTCTCTGGTTAAAAAAAAATACCAAGAAGTACTTAGGTTCCTTCTGACTTAAAAGGTTAATATTTTATTCAGGAACTAATAATAGCAATTACCTGTCAGAGACAGTTAACTTAGTAAGGTCTAACGACAATCACCTCTAACAACAGAGGTGGCAAACACGTAATATTATAACAGAAAAATAGTATTTTCAGGGTTCAACTGACACTATATACTGGAGACTCAAACTTGAAATCCTTGAAACTGACAGCTAGCTCCCTTCAATACTTGAGGGGTTCACAGAAGTATTAACAGAAATGGGAAACATGGTGATATTAGACCTATAAAGACTTGACATTTTTGGTAAAAGAGGAAGTTCAAAGACAGTAAGAGAAGTTTAAATAATGCTGATTGGGGGAAATTATATAGATGCTTGGTGTTGAAATGAAAATTGTGGGTGAAAAAAGTAGTAACCATCTCATCTGAACAGAGTAATGTAATTAGATACACAGTTTACAATGAAATAAGGCTGAATTCTTAAAATTAGTTTGAAAAAAATTGCAAAGTTTGTTTATATAAAACATCACACTTTATACTAGATGAAAACTCAATCCACTATATTCCAACAGATTAAGAGACAGTCAGGCAGAAAGACCTATATAACTGTGTTGGAAAGGACACTGTCAAATATTGTCAAATAGTTTTGCTACTCAGACAGCCACTCATCCAGCCCAAGAACCATAAAAGCAAACCAACCCTTTTAACAGAGCAACAAGAATACAGGTGCTGTTCTGTTAGTTCAAATTGTGAAAGTACAAAGTCTTTAGAGATTGTGCCTTGAGAAACAAATGGGTCAAGGAAAATAAGGAATAAATTGAACAATGGATGTATGGAAAAATAGAGGCTAAAGGATACTATGTAAACAATAGAAATTGTATGAAACACAAAAATCTAAAAATCAATATTTGACAGAGTCCCTTTAACATATATAAAAAAAGGGCACAAATAATGTTTTTGTTTTTAAAAAGCTTTTGACAACTTAACAGTCAGTTTTAATAGGAAAAAAATCAATTTACCAGAATTAAGACAGTGTTCTTGATACTCACTGGGCCAAGAGTGTTAAAACAAATCATGCCTAAAAAGTTAATAAATATAGATAAAGACAAAACTGGACAAAATAAACAAAGGAAGACCCAAACTAAACAAATATCCAATCAGGCAAAAGTATATACAAATACCTGAAGAGGTTGCAATTAAGTGGCATCCCCATTACCTAAAAAATCATAGTCATTCTGGTGATCTGTTAAGTATTATTTGGTCCAATCTGAAGTAAATCTTGTTTTAATTAAAACTGGCCTAACAAAATTGCAGGCTCATAATCATATCTGGGCAAATTTAGCCAACATATTTCCACCTGGGTAAAAATTATTAAATACAGATAGATGTCTTTTTACTTACCAAGATATTACTTTCCTATCATCTTTATTTTTAATAATAACTTGATTATAGTTTTGTCATGGCCAGTGTACCGATTCAGTCAGATGCGTGTTTCAGTGCCTGTGATAAAGGCTGTACTTATCACACACACAGATACACATAAGTCACAACTACTGAGAATGCCTGGGGGACATGGGAAACACAGAACGCCAAGAACAATGCAAAAGAAATCTATTAATGCTGCACATCATTTCAAGTTCTTTAAGGAAAAAAAATTCTAAAAATAAATGTATCATTCAAAGTATTTTTTAAAATACAAAACATGTATTTCATGAAGAGTGCTATTAGTTTTCTTCCTAGCAGTCTTTAAAGACTTATTTTGCTCCTCCCTGTTACTCAATGGTGATCAAATTAAGATAAATGTCCCTTAAAAAGTTATGGCCCTAGGCCCTGCATTTACTCACACCTAACGTCATATGCACAGGTTGTATGTAATTTAGACGCTCCAATTTTGTTAACTATAACTTAATAGCACAGAGTTATTCAAAGTTTTGCACAGCAGCGCACGTGAAGATGTATATGCTATATGCAATTCAGGTTTAAAACTGCATTTGCAGGATGGTGCAGCAGAACACAGTGGAAGTAGAGTTTCAGAGCGTACCTGTGCCAGAGCCCTCACCTGTCACTGTGTTGATGTGAGTCTGTTATTGCAGTGGGCAGAGTTTCATATGTCTGCAGTTTATAAATTAGCTTTCATTTCCATTATTTAAGCTGGCACACAGAATTCGGGGAGTGTGGCAGCAGTATAAAAATCCTGATTAGAAAGATCAAACTAGAGGATCCTAAAGTGAATTGTTTAATCTCTGAAATTAAATTCACGTGGCTCCCGTGACATGAGGATGACATCAACTCTAGCATAATTATTGCCACTGATGCCCCAACATGCAATAGTCTGTGTGAATCTGTAATTCACATCCTTTAAAACTGTTATTGCTTAAGTAAGCCATTCAGAGTAGATATGGTCTATGTGGTTGGAAAGAAACATACTCAAAAAGTTAGACTACACAGGCATGAGCCTTTCATTCCTCTCATAAACCTACACAAATACACGACCAATGGGGCAACAGGTTCATAGCAGCTAACACCCTAAACCAACTCTGAAGCATCAAGATTTGATTTCTCACTAAAACAAATCTGCTCCTTTTTTTGTATTTTCCTCTTAAAATTAAGGCAATGAAATGGCTACAGTTCCTAAAGTTATTTTTATGGAACAAAAATATACACGTATTTCCCTCTTCAAGTTCAGGCATCAGAGTATGATTAGAGACTTGTATTACACAAAACCTGCAACACTGGGTTAATATGAATGAGAGAGAGAGAGAGAAAGAACACTAAGAAAAAGCCAATAAGCCCCTGGTGATGTTGCCTCTTCCTGCTGAATTATAAACGTAATCATCGAACACAGGAAAAGCTAGAAAGCATAAAACCTCCCATGAGTTTTCGATGTCTCTTGCGTTGATTTGAAATGTTTGGGGTGATGGAAGGGAGCAGCTTATTAAAATGAAGACTCCAGGGTCCAACGACAAGAAATTCTGACTCTGAAGGTCTACAGTTGGGCCTAGGAATCTACCTTTTCAACCAGCTCCTCAAGTGATGCAGGTGATCTATGGACAACGTTTCAAGAAACATTGCCTAGCATATATCCACCTAATATTTAATGACACAAATTCTAAACTTTGGCTAGCCACCTATGTTTTGATAAAAGGGGGAAAGGCACTGAATGTGTATTTCATGGTGCCCATATCTTCACATATATGGAATATCATTTTGAAAATTTTAAATCACCATTCAAAACCTAGGAGACATATATATGACAGATTGTGGCTAACACTAACAGCAGAAGCTGACTCAAAGTTGGTTGACCTCTCCTGTTTCACTGTATTACGTATCAAAGTTTCAGGCTCTCCAAAATCTAAAATGGCCAAATGAACTGAGGAACAGGACAAGACTCAAGTCAACTTTCAGCAATTCAGTGCACTTTGCAGAAAGGATCTAAATTAAGCATAAAGCTTCGTTGTTTATTTTACACAAAGGAGACCACCAACATTTGCCATAAATTCTTCTAAACTCTTCAGGAAGGCCATCTTCTGCTTCCGGTCCAGCGTAGGAGGAGTGCTGCTTGCAGTGAGCTTGTTGAAGGCATCTGCTAATCTCTGATAAATAACAGGTTCTTGTTGACTTGACAGTAATGTTTCGACCAGTTCAGAATATTCAGCCTGGTGCAAACACACCAATGTGTAGAAAGCTTCACCAGCTGCAGTGGTCATCTCTGTGTTGTGCTTTTGCAAAACCAGCATATCAAAAAACAGCTTAAGAAAGTGCCATGTTGCTAGAAAAAGTGGTGAATCTGTTTCTTGTGCTTTTGCACATTGTTCAGCTAACAGTGTCAAGGCCTCCAGGCAAAGCTGGCAAACCTCCGAACTCATTGATGTCATTCCTAATTCTAGAGAGTACATCAGACTTTTGAACAGATCCTCAGGAAGCTGCGGTATTTTTTCAGGAAAAATCTCACAGATAAATGTGATTAATTTGTAGTATTGATTACAAAGGGTGGGAACTTCAAAAGATCTTGTGACATCAAGGGCAGAATTAGGTTTACTCCATATAAAACAACATCCGCCGCTGATATAGACCTGTTTGCTGTTTGACCCGGCTCGTGTCCTCTAAACACTTCATCTGTATCACTGAAATCTATGAATTCTTTGAAAAGAAGATTAGTAAGAAGTTCCATAATGAGAAGTAGGTCTTGGTATTGCTCTTCTTCCGCTGTAACATCTATTCTTTGCTGCCCTAAATTATTCTTAGAATATACTTGCAACAAAGTAAGGCAGGCTTCATATAAGTTCATAGCTTTGGACTCTCCAAGATAACATCTCTGTTTATGTGCAACTTCAACAAAAACTTCTATAATGAGATTGACAGTCTCTGGGGTATTTTTGTAAACTTCCATCAACCCAATGCAATTGGTAAGAAAGTCCATTAAAAAATTAAAAAGGATTGCTACGTTATCAATCTGGGTAGCCTCAGCAATGCCACACAGCGCCTCCAGTGTGGCGGTGATTTCCTGCTTCACTTCTTCTTGCTGACACATCTGCTGAAAGTTTTCTTGGTTTATCACTCTTAAGAATCTCTGCTGAAGTGGCTGAAGGACCTCTGTCCAATATTGTTGTCTGGTTTCCATGTCCATACGTGCGAAACCTCCTAAGACTAGAGCCTTCATCAGTGTTCTCTGCACGGGACTTGACAAGAAATTAAGAGGTGGGCTTTGGCTTGCAAACTTTTTAGCTAAGTTCCACCAGTTTTCACACTAAATTACTAAGTTTGCTCTTTCCCTTCTTTCCACCAAAGTGACAAGGAGCTGCACGGTGTCATTTGCCAGGTCCTGCTCACTGCTCCAGACCGAGAGGTTACTGATGACTTTTTGTAAGACGTAGCCAATAACCCACTGAGAACCCTCCGTATCTGCTCCAAATGCTGTACTGAATGGCAGACTTATCTGATCATATAGTTTTTCATCCACCAGAAGATAAGTCTTTGCCCAGCATTTTAAAAACCAAACAATAGATGCCTAATAGTGCTATTGCTGGATCGAATGGTATTTCTATTTTTAGCTCTCTGAGGTATCTCCAAATTCTTTTCCACAGAGGTTGCACTAATTTGCAGTCCCACCAGCGGTGTAAAAGTGTTCCTGTCTCTACCCAAAAGAGCACAAAACATTCTAAGATAAAGACATCTGCACCCGAATGTTTATGGCAGCACAATTCACTATTGCAAGAATGTGGAAACAACCCAAGTGCCCATCAATACATGAGTGGATTATTAAAATTTGGTGTATGTTTACAATGGAATATTACTCAATTATAAGAAATGACAGTGATCTAGCACCTCTTATACTTTCCTGGATTAAACTTAAGCCCATTATCCAAAGTGGGGCACCAAAAGAGCAGAAGAATGGGATCCATTTGTACTCATCATCAAATTGGTACTAACAGATCAACACTAGGTTGATCACATGGCAGAAGTACTCTCTAGGGATTAGGGGGATGTAGGGGCAAATCTACAACTAAAGGACATGGGGAGCACTAAAGGGAGGGAAGGGCATGCCTTTAACCCGCATTTGGGTGAGGCAAAGACATAAAGTGTAACTATAATGTTTGTACCCTCACAAAACCCTGGAATAATAAATAAATAAATAAATAAAATAATAAAAAAATAAATAAAAACCAAACAGTATCTTTGCTCATTTGGGGGCTTAGTAGATGTGTGAGATCTGCTCTTATTGCACGAGATTCAACTTCTGAAACTCTTAGAATGGCAGATAACAACCTAATCACAGAATCCGTTCTGTTGTACCCCGGGATGGAAGAAGCCTTTTCTCCTGGAGATCCCAAAATTTGAAGTGTTGTATTAATGTCAACTTCAGATGAATATTCCATTATTTCTGGAGGTATTAGCAGAGTCTCTCCCTGAGTATCATCAGCTAAGAGGTAGCCTGTAACTAAAATAAGCCAGTGAATATCTTCATAGAGGTCATCAAGCATTTTGTTGTCAATAGTGCTTGAACCAGGTGAGGAGAGTAATTGTTGCTGATGTCGTTGTAACTGACCATGGAGCCTTGTTACTCTTTCTTCTAATAAACTTGTCAGAAGAGGTATATAGTGTTCTGCAGCAATTCTTCCTAGCATTCCTACACTGGCTAGTTGATCAGAAAACTGGTCTCGATCATCCTCTTGAAGTTCACTTATTTCTTCTTCCTCCCGAGAGGCCACACCATTGGCAGTCAAATTTCTTGTGCCATCTGGAGTGGCTAGGTGGCACTGAATATAGGAATTGAAAACTTGAACTGCATGTTGGGTAAAAAAGCCTTTATGGAAATGTTTGTCATCTTGGACCAAAGTTAGCCAGGACTCCAGCAATTTATCATATGCTTCCATATAGACCATATCATCTTTATCAAGCACTTCCAATGCAGCACTTCTCCCAAAAGAACAAGTGAGGTGTGTGAGGCAGTTAACAAAGGAGGAGAAAAGTTCATTTGGAATGGCAGTCAAAACATTTCTAGGGAAGACAGTTATCAAGTTGCTTATAATGCTGGAGATTCCCACAGCTTCAGAATCTTCTATTTCAATTCCATTGATAGTATTCAGTAATCCCTCAATGAAGTGTGCTAGATAATCAATTTGTGATCCTTCATCAGGGAAGATGGGTCCATGAAGAGAAGCTAACTGGGCAAGGCACTGCAGAGAATCTTGTGCCATATCTGACTCTTCTCTGATTTTTCGATGTACTGTGAAGAAAAGCTCCATAACTCTGCTGTCCAGAAGAGTCTCCCGCCAGGACTCTGTTGGCTTCAATACCACATTTTGAGAGGATTCAAACATAGCTATATAATGTCTGCCCAAATTTGGAGGAAAAAAGTTCCAGCTCAAGACTTGATTGGCGAGTGCAAGGTAAGGCTGAAATACTGAAGACATCTGTGCGTTGAGGTTTTCCCGCCTGCTAAACTCCTGCAGAACTTCAACAGTTAACACGAAGATCTTGATGAAGGTCTTCTTCCTGAAAAACTCTTTTGAAGTTACCATGGAATTCCATACTCAATCACATGTTGCTGGTTTTAGTTGAACTTGAAAATTCACTTAATAGTGCAGTTAGAATAGAACAGGCCAGAGTTTGCACAGTGGGATTGCCACTACTTATCAACTGGCTGACTTCATGAAAAATGCTTTTGCAGTCAATTGATTTATCTAATGATCCTCGCTTTACAATTGCTGCTACTGCTAGTAGAATCTGTTCCTGAACATACTTTTGGAGGTTAGGCCTTTGTAAGACATAGGTTAAAAGGAATGTTCTCAGCGACTCAATGCTACCTTCTTCCAAGAGAAGCCACTCTCGGACAACTGCTTCCATTATGGCTGTGGCAGCTTGAAAAAGGACATAGTCCACTTTACTAGTTTCCAAAATATGCTTACAAACTGCAAATGGTGACTTTGATTCTCTAAATGATAAGAATATGTGCTCTGCAAGCTGGCGTTGTTCATTATTGACCATGGAAGGTGGTGCCATCAGAACTTTGGCCGCGTTCTCCAGCTGAGCAATCACTTCTGGGGGCCCCAGCGCCGCCGCCATCATGGTCTCTCTTCAATGGCGCGCCATGCGCTGCATTCTGGGAGCGGGCGGCGCGGCCGGCCAATCGCCTCGGCGACCCTGGAGCCTCACGCGCTCCCGAGGCTGTCGCCACCGCCCTGAACGCCGGCGTCGCGGCGTCGGCGGCTCTGGCCTGGCCAGGCGGCGGGGATGGGACTAGAGTGAGCCGGGCCGCCACGCTGTGGCGGGGGCGGCTCCTGCCGGCGCCAGGCGAAACCCTGGCGGTTGGCCCCGACGGCGGTAGCCGAGCGTCCTGCCTCTATGGGTTTTTAGTAAGTAAAGGAAGAATAAATCATTCACTCTTTTCTTCCTTTGCATAATGTATATACACATGTCTATATACAGCATGTATATACAGCATGTCTATATGCTTCTGTATTTAGAAAGACAGACAGTCTCTGACTTATGGTGGTTCCACTGCTGATATTTTAACTTTATGATGGGTTTATTGGAGTATTAAATACATTTTTGACTTATGATATTTTCAACTTATGATGAATTTATTGGGTTATAACCCCATTGTTAGTCAAGGAGTATCTGTATATATATTTTTCCATATTTCAAAGAGCATATCATTCTTTAACCTGCTTTGATGCAATACATATCCAATTATGATCTTTGATCTCCTACAAAACATTAGTTATATTTAAAGCAATATTTCAGGCTCACCGGACAGGAAGCCTCTCGGAGATAGTCTGCGACTGGACAGCTCTAGGTGAGACAGAAGCCAAAGAGGAGGAGGAAGTGGAGGAACTTTGGTCTTTTGAAATACTTCAACCATGACTAAAAGAGAAGCAGAGGAGCAGATAGAAATTGAGATTGATGGAACAGAGAAACCGGAGTGCACAGAAGAAAGCATTGTAGAACAAACCTATGATCCAGCTGAATGTGTAAGCCAGGCCATAGACATCAATGAACCAATAGGCAATTTAAAGAAACTACTAGAACCAAGACTACAGTGTTCTTTGGATGCTCATGAAATTTGCCTGCAAGATATCCAGCTGGATCCAGAAAGAAGTTTATTTGACCAAGGAATAAAGACAGATGGAACCGTACAGCTTAGTGTACAGGTAATTTCTTACCAAGGAATTGAGCCAAAGCTAAACATCCTTGAAATTGTTAAACCTGCGGACACCGTTGAAGTAGTTATTGATCCAGATGCCCACCATGCTGAATCAGAAGCACATCTTGTTGAGGAAGCTCAAGTCATAACTCTTGATGGCACAAAACACATCACAACCATTTCAGATGAAACCTCAGAACAAGTGACAAGATGGGCTGCTGCACTGGAAGGTTATAGGAAAGAACAAGAACGCCTTGGGATACCCTATGATCCCATACAGTGGTCCACAGATCAAGTCCTGCATTGAGTGGTTTAGGTAATGAAGGAATTCAGCATGACCGATATAGGCCTCACCACCCTCAACATTTCTGGAAGAGAATTATGTAGTCTCAACCAAGAAGATTTTTTTCAGTGGGTCCCTCGAGGGGAAATTCTCTGGAGTCATCTGGAGCTTCTTCGAAAATATGTATTGGCAAGCCAAGAACAACAGATGAATGAAATAGTTACAATTGATCAACCTGTGCAAATTATTCCAGCATCAGTACAGTCTGCTACACCAAGTACAATTAAAGTTATAAATAGCAGTACAAAGGCAACTAAAGTACAAAGAGCTCCAAGGATCTCAGGAGAAGATAGAAGCTCACCTGGGAACAGGACAGGAAACAATGGCCAAATCCAACTATGGCAGTTTTTCCTAGAACTTCTTACTGACAAGGATGCTCGAGACTGTATTTCTTGGGTTGGCAATGAAGGCGAGTTTAAGCTAAATCAGCCTGAACTGGTTGCACAAAAATGGGGACAACGTAAAAACAAACCTACAATGAACTATGAGAAACTCAGTCGTGCATTAAGGTATTATTATGATGGGGACATGATTTGTAAAGTTCAAGGCAAGAGATTTGTATACAAGTTTGTCTGTGACTTGAAGACTCTTATTGGATACAGTGCAGCAGAGTTGAACCGTTTGGTCACAGAATGTGAACAGAAGAAACTTGCAAAGATGCAGCTCCATGGAATTGCCCAACCAGTCACAGCAGTAGCTTTAGCTACTGCTGCTCTGCAAACAGAAAAGGATAATTGAGCCCAGGACCTTCTGGGACTCCAAGGTCTTTCTTAAACATTTAGAGCAAGTATGGCTCTTACCTTTATTACTGAATTTAAATTTTCTTTTATTTCTAGACTGTACAATCTGATGCATGATTTTTTTATAAATATTTCATACTCTTGTGAATTTGGATCTTTTTACTTTGAGCATATGTTTTAGAATATGTGTATGTTAAAGGATCACCACAATGTCTGCAGCGTGAAGGCAGGTTCATTGTGGAATAGTTTGTTAACAGTCAGGAAAGCTAAACTGGTCAGTATTAATGTCTAGCCCTACCAAAAATAGCCAGTAGCATTTGAAAATGAAAAATGAAGTATCTCCAGGAAACAGTCCGGCATAACTATTTTTGAAAATATAACTGTTTCCCCTCTGCTGCTTTAGATGTTGCTTTACATAGAACCAGAAAATGGGATTTCTCAGCTAAAGCATGTGTGCCTGTTTCATCTAATCAAGCAGAGCTAAAATGTTCATATCTAATAAAATTATAATAATATTAATTACTAAACTAAGAGTATCAGGTTATTAAAGTAATTTATATATTTGGAAGCAAAGAATGATAAGTTGACTGGCAGAAGAACAGTGCTGAAGAAGGAGATCCAGGTTTAAATCTGGCTTAACTCAAGCCAATTTTAAGGATTTTCTGTACAGATTATCCATAATGTCAGACCAAGAATTTAAATTATTTTGAGAGAGGCATTTAATTCTAATAAACCAGCTATTACAAAAATTCTAAAATGATCTCTGTTTTTCCTGTCAGAGATTTAAAAAACTGAAAAGGTATACCTCAGCCAGAAAATAAAAGTTTGGTTTGGTTTGGTATGGCTTCCTTTTTTTTTTTTTTAATTAACCTATAGTGCTGGTTTGTTATGCAAAGCAGCTTATATATTCCTGTGTTTCTGATAAAAGGAAGACTTTAAACCAGTCAGCAGTACTTTACCTTTCTTGCAAATAGTTTTAAAAGGAAAATTTGATCTCTATTATAGGCAGTCTTCTCTTTAAAATAAAACTTTCTATTTTTTTCAAAAAAAAATAAAACAATATTTCATTATACAGGCTATATATTTTACAGTAGAGTTGGTTTGCTGTATCTCTATCTTCCAAGGCTGTAAGTAATCCTATTGTTTCCTCTGGAGGGTGACACCGTCTTCCAAGGCTGTTCATGATGCAAACATTCCTGGAAAGATAGTCCAGAAAAAAGAAGAGGAAGTACCTCACTGGAAAGCTATGTGTAATAAAAGGTGATAAACAAATATAGATTTGTTTCTCAATGATATACGCTCTCCTTTTCTATACTATCTTGGCTTCTGGAAAATTTTCTCATGAGTATGTCACTCTGTTGGTGACTGTGATTAATCTGACAGAAGTTGGGAACAAGTCTATTTAAATAGTCTCATAAAAGCACTTAATTAAGGCTACTACCAACAGGACTCCAAGCAGCAGATGTTGACCTTCTGTGTTGAGCTCAACCATTCCTCCCAGGGTCCCAGATCCAACCAGCAGAATAAAACTCATAAACCATTACAGTCTATCTTAAAAAGTCAGGTGACTTTCTCCTTAACTTTCTGTATTGATGGCTCCAGTTGACCCGAGGCATTAATTCAGACAGAGAAGAATGTATTAGCAATTGCACAGATTTCATCCTGGTCTGCATCTATCTATCCATAACAACCCTGGATGGTAAATTGATCTTACCTGATGACTTCCAGGACTGCAGTGGTATCATTTACCAGTTCAGCTGAAGTCAGAATCAAATTTTATACTACCTCTTCTAACTGGATGACCATAGTGTAGCGATAACTGCCTATGTAGCATGCATAAATAACAAATCAGTCATCCCTCCAAGTAACTCCTAAAAGTAACCAAGTATAGTCCCATTTCAGGGAGGTCTCTACAGTTATCTAAGGACTACATAATAATGTACTGCTGGTGTTTCCCTAAACACGTGAATATCTCTTAATGACCACTACTAAGGTGCAAGTCACAGTGTTTTTGGGAGGGAAAAAAGTTAATACTTAGCTTCCACACAAGAAGTAAAGTTCTAAGGGTGCATATGGTACCACTGGAAAGAAGGGTTTGTTTACAATTATTGGGTATCCCTAAGTATGATCCACATCAGTAGGCGAAGAATTTGACAAATGTGTCTCCAACATGACCTATTGGCCAACTGATAAAACTGTAAGATTCTTAATTCAGTTTGAATAACTGAGTCTAGTCCTGCTTTTTGGAGAGACTTCTCAAGGGCACTCAGTCCAATCTTTCCTATTTATTCATTCCACCAGCTATGTGGCATTTGTCCAACCCATGAATGGCTGAGCAGTGGCAATGGGAAAGACATATGGAAATACTGACACGTTTTGCATGAGAGATTCAAATGTTGGGGCCATCCTCTGATGTTTCTGATATTCAGGTCATTAAATGTGAAATGTCTGATTTCAAATCGAAAGTGTAGTTTATTATATCTCAAACAACAAGCAGTACAATTATTCAAAGTGTACACCTAACCTATTGACAGAGTTTTGCCATCTTAACAGCAGCTTGTTTATGCCAGCTGTGAAGAAGCCTAGAGAGAGAGTGGTGATGAAATCACGAAACGCATTTTCCACAGCTTGTTGAGAATTGAATGTTTTTCCTTGCAAGAAGTGGTCCAAAGCCTGGAAGAAGTGGTAGTCAGTTGGCGCAAGGTCTGGTTAATATGGTGGATGACAGAGAGTTTCTAAGTCCAGCCTCTGTAGTTTGAGCAGTGTTGTTTGTGTGACATGTAGTCGAGTGTTGTCTTACAAGAGGATTGGCCTGTCTCTGTTGACCAATCTCAGCTGCTTAATCACAAGCATGCTCATCATTTCATCTAATTGGTTGCAGTAGATATCCGCTGTAATCGATTGCCTGGGTTTCATGATTCTCTAGTGGATAATACCAGCACTGGACCACCAAACAGACACCATTAGCTTTTTTTTTGATGAATATTCAGTTTTGGACTGTATTTCGGCACTTCATCTTTATCCAACCATTGTGCTGAACGCTTGTGATTGTCAAAAAGAATCCATTTTTCATCACATATAACAATACGGTCTAGAAATTGTTCACGTTTATGTTGTGACAGCAAAGAAAGGCAAGCTTCAAGATGATTTCTCTTCTGATGCTCATTTAATTCATGCAGTACCCAAATATCCAGGTTCTTTACTTTGTCTATTTGTTTCAAATGGTCCAATATTGTTGGAATGGTAATGTCAAACCTTGCTGCTATTTCATGCATAGGTTGAGATGGATTTACTTCCACAACAGCTTTTAGCTCATCATTGTCCATCTTGGTCTCAGGTCCCACATCTGGCTCATTTTCAAGATTAAAATCACCAGAATGGAACTTTTCAAACCATCGATGTACTGTGCATTCATTAGCTGCATCCTTCCCAAACACTTCATTGATATTTCGAGCTGTCTGTGCTGTGTTGTTTCCACGATGGAACGCATATTAGAAAATAACACAAATTTTTGACTTATCCGTGGTTTCATAAAAATTGCTTTAAGAAAAATTAAAAGATAAATCACATGCCAAATCATGAATTTTAAAGAATGAGGATGTACCTTCACAATAAAAATAAAACAAGAAATGTAAATGTGAAATATCAGAGAGATCAACTGTCAAACTTAGTTACTTAAGGAAATCGGACATTTCGTAGTTAATAACCTATAGCTTTCTTGGTGAGAGTAAGGGAAATGGCAATCAAATAGTGGTTAGAGTTAGCAAAATTGAGGGCTGTGATTGGACAGAGCCATCAATCAATTAAATTCAAGGCACTTAGAGTGGTTTAGGAGAGAAACACCATAATATTTTCATTAATGAAGAGGTTACCGGAAGTTCTGAAAGATGAAAGATCATTAATGTTCCTTCTACTCCATACCTCCCAGACAAAAGATTTCTTTCCTTATATGCCTGAGTTGTTGGTTTACTTCACTATTACTAAACAGGTCAACAAACAAATAAGTGTGTCCCATCCCAGTAGCTATAATTTCACTTCTTTTTGCAATCATCTTTGATTTTCACCCTGATATGGAGCGTTTATGTGCAAAAATTAAAGGACACTTTTATACAATTTATAGAGACCCATTTTATCACATATTTTAGCCTGCATAGTCACTATAGGGAGACTCAGCATTGTGTTCAACCAATTAGTCATTACCTTTTTATGATCTAGGACCATTATAGTCCAACCTGAGAACCCAAGTGGCTGAACAGCAATTAAGTTTGAATCTTCTAAGTCCCTTTTGTCTGTAATGTCACCTGGAGTGTATACCAACCAGATAAGCTTGGGTTTGTCATTAGAGGAAAAAAAGAAGTATCATGTTCAATAATAATCAGGACACAATCCTAAAATTTGAAAATAGGTCTATATAATCCTCCAACACTTCCATTCTGTTCACTACCCAGGAAATCTCCAAGAGGAGATGATTCCTTTCTACAGACAGCTATATTTAATGATTAAAATGCCTTAGTAAGGTATGTGGTAGAGTCAGACATCTTTTGAGTAAATTTTTGTTAAGCCTGTTTCTATGCTCAATAATATCAGATGCCTGTTGATAGTAGCAAGTTGAGGTTCCATTTAATACCTTGACTTTTAGGCAATTGTTGAGGGTTTTTTTTTGTGTGATAAAAAGTGTACTATTGTCAGCCTTAATCATCTCTAGAGGGAAAGATATGGCACAGATTCCCATAATTGTATGGCCAGAGTTATGTGGTTGGTCTAGAACAGAAAACATAACAAGAAACAGTGTCATTGGCAATGATGTATCATCAATACTTTGAGAAAGGATTAAATGTTCATTAAATTCAATCTGCTAGCAGTAGATGGTAATAATACCCCATGCTGCGTGACATCCCTCATTATAAGACAAATGTGTCAAAGAAGAAATCACAAGGGAAATTAGAAACTACTTCAAGATAAAATAAAATGAAACACAACAGACCAAAACTTATGAGATGTAAAGATAATAGTGCTTAGAAGAAAATTTACACCTGTAAATGCCTACATTTTAAAAAATCTTAAATCAGTAACCTAAACTCCCAACTTAAAGGACAAAAAATAAGAGCAAACTAAGCACAAAGGAAATAGAAGGAAGAAAATAATAAAGATGAGAGTGGCAATTAATGAACAAGAGAATGGAAGAACAATAGGGAAATATTTAAAAACCTAAAAGCTGGTTTTTGGAAATATCTACAAAATTGACAAACCTTTATTTAATTAGACTGATTCAAGAAAATAGAATGGACTCATATTACTAAAATCAGAAATAAAAGGGGCCATATACTGACTTTATGGAAATAATGGAGTAC